CTTGTCGTTCTGGCTCTCGTACCAACTGGGTTGTCCAAATCATAACAGATAATGCTCCAGCCAGACTATACCCAGAACGAGACCAGAAGCGAACAAGCTTCATCATCCGTTAACACTGAGAACATGGACAGTTATGGAGAGGTTCTGAAGAAAATTATGGCCCAACAACAGAGCACCCAGGCAAATTTATTGGAACTTGGATGCATGGTTCATGCTATTAACCGACAACTTGTTTCTCCTTCTCCCACAGCCGCAGCTTCGCCTTTACCGAGTCCTACTGAATTCAGCCCTGTAAGTCATTCCACAAACCAACAACTGTTTATTAAACCTTCTGAACTTTTTTCTGGAGACCCTGATCAGTGCAGAGGTTTTTTGCTACAGTGCAAACTCGCTCTCAAGGGGGCTCCCCAGTATTTTTCTTCAGACATTGCTAAAGTAAACTTCTTCATTAGTCAACTCAAGGGAAACGCTTTAAAATGGGCTACTTCATTTATGCACCTCCATGAACTAGAATCTGTGTCTTTTGATTCGCTACTCACCGAGTTTTGTAAAATATTCGACCGCCCGCTGCAACAATCCAACGCCGAGAAGCGTCTGCTGGGATTACGGCAGGGCCGGCGACCGGCGTCCGAACACGCTCTCGACTTCCGCATCCTGGCGGCCCAGACAGGTTGGAACGACAGAGCCCTGCAAGGTACCTTTTTGAATTCTCTATCCGATTATGTAAAGGATCAAATCGCCGCTCGTGATGAGCCTGCTAGTTTCGACGCGCTAATTAATTTAGCGATCTCTCTCGACGAACGCTTCCGGGAACGCCGTAGGGAGCGAGACTACAACTCCCAGAATCCTTCCGGTTCCGCTGTACCGCTGAGTGGGGCTTACAACTACAATTCCGCCCCAGAAGACTACAAGTCCCAGACAGAGTTTTCTAACACTCAGTTAGATCGGCCCGAACCTATGCAGATTGGTCGTACCAGTTTGACTCCTCAGGAGAGGCAGAGACGTAGGAGTTTGGGCTTGTGTATGTATTGTGGGAAAAGAGGGCACTTTGTAGCCTCCTGCCCGCTTCAGGGAAACTCCAACGTCCACCAATAAGGAGGGAGTTACGGGTGGGCACGGCATCAATCTCCCCTTTTTTGAGACTTACCTTACCTACAGTAATTTTAATCAACCAAAATCGTTTCGCAGTCACAGCTTTAATTGATTCAGGCGCCGAACAAAATTTAATTACTCAAGATTTGGTTGAAGAGTTCTCCCTTCCAGTCAAGGGGATTGAGTCAATCTCTATAGCCGGGGTTACAGGGGAGGTTTTGACCCAGGTTAAATTTAGGACGACAGATCTTCATTTAATAACCTCGGGAAATCATCATGAGACCACTAGTTTTTTTGTATTCGAGTCGCCCAACTCTCAATTAATCCTTGGGTACCCCTGGCTTAAGAGCCATAATCCCCACATTAATTGGAAATTAGGAAGGGTAGAGAGGTGGAGCGACAAATGTTTAAAGTACTGTCTTCGATCAGGGGTCTCAAACATGTCCAGGCCCAAATCAGAGTTCTGTGAGACCGACCTGTCCGGTGTTCCATCCGATTATCATGATTTAGCTCCTGTATTCAGCAAACAGCGGGCCCTATCATTACCTCCACATCGCCACTACGATTGTCCCATCGACCTCCTTCCGGGAGCCTCTCTGCCTTCGAGCCGCCTTTTTAATATCTCCGGTCCTGAGAGGGAGGCTATGAGGTCGTACATTGAGGAATCCCTCGATTTAGGGATCATTCGCCCTTCAACTTCACCTCTAGGTGCAGGATTCTTTTTTATCACCAAGAAGGACAAGTCTCTGCGTCCTTGCATCGACTACCGTGAACTCAACAACATCACTATTAAAAACAAATACCCCCTTCCACTAATCAATTCCATCCAAGAGCAGTTACAACCAGCCACCATCTTCACCAAATTGGACTTACGCAATGCGTATAACTTGGTTCGCATTAGACAAGGCGATGAGTGGAAGACCGCATTCAGAACCCCGTTGGGTCACTTTGAGTACCTGGTGATGCCTTTTGGGCTCACTAACGCTCCTGCAGTATTCCAGGCTTTGGTTAACGACGTGTTAAGGGATTTTATTGGGGACTTTGTTTTCGTCTACCTCGACGACATCCTCATTTATTCAAGAGACAGAAACGAACACGTTAACCATATTAGAGCTGTTTTGCAAAGACTCTATGAGAATCAGCTTTTTGTGAAGGGGGAGAAGTGTGATTTTCATGCCTCATCTGTGTCCTTTTTGGGGTTCATCTTCGGGGAAGGGTTTTTCAGGACCGACCCCGAGAAAACTAAGGCAGTGGTGGAGTGGCCAGTTCCGGAAACAAGGAAACAACTGCAACGATTCTTGGGGTTCGCAAACTTCTATAGGCGTTTCATCAAGAATTACAGCCGCATCGCCGCACCCCTATCTCAGCTTACCTCCACGACCAGAGCATTTAAATGGACTCCTGAGGCCGACGCTGCTTTTGGTAAGCTGAAGGATTTGTTCTCATCTGCACCCATTCTCTGTCATCCAGACCCCACTTGGCAGTTTATCCTTGAGGTGGATGCATCGGATACAGGTGTCGGGGCGGTCCTATCTCAGAGGTCGCTCCTGGATAACAAGGTACACCCCTGTGCATTCTTTTCCCGCCGTTTGTCCCAAGCAGAGAGAAATTATGATGTGGGCAACAGAGAATTATTGGCCGTTAAATTGGCTTTGGAGGAATGGCGCCATTGGCTTGAGGGCACAGAGACTCCCTTCCTGATCTGGACTGACCACAAGAACCTTACATATTTGAGAGAGGCTAAACGGTTAAACCCCAGACAAGCACGATGGTCATTATTTTTTAACCGTTTTAACTTCACGTTGACTTTCCGACCTGGTACTAAGAACATCAAGCCTGACGCTCTCTCCCGCCAGTTTTCTCCTCCAGACACTCCTGAGCCTGTTGAGGGCATCATCTCCCTGGTTTGCATTGTCGGAGCCCTTACCTGGCCTATTTTGAGAGAGGTTCGTGAAGCCCACCTGACAGAACCTGATCCTGGCACTGGTCCCCCTGGCACTTTGTTCGTCCCCTCACATATGAGGTCTAAGGTACTCGACTGGCTCCACACCAATAAACTCTCTTGTCATCCCGGTACAGCACGTATGTTGTCTCTTACGAAGAGACATTTCTGGTGGCCCACGCTTTCTAAGGATGTCAAGGACTTTGTTGCGGCCTGCTCCACTTGTGCCAGGAACAAGACCGGTACTCAGCCTCCTGCCGGTCTTCTACAGCCTCTGCCAACGCCCAGCCGTCCATGGTCTCATATTTCAGTGGACTTCGTCACCGGGTTGCCCCCTTCAGAAGGTAACACCACTATTCTGACTGTCATCGACAGGTTCTCTAAGGCAGCACATTTCGTCCCACTACCCAAGCTCCCGTCTGCCCTGGAGACAGCACAGATCTTGGTTCAGCAGGTTTTCAGGATACATGGCATCCCTTCAGATGTGGTCTCTGACAGAGGACCACAGTTCATTTCCCAAGTTTGGCGTTGTTTCTGCAGGACTTTGGGGGCGTCCACCAGTCTCACTTCGGGTTATCATCCTCAGTCAAATGGACAGACTGAAAGATGCAATCAAGAGTTGGAGACCACCCTGAGGTGCATAGTGGAGCGTAACCCCTCAGCTTGGAGTCAACATCTTGTGTGGGTCGAGTACGCCCACAACTCGCACACCTCCTCGGCCACAGGTATGTCACCTTTTGAGGCTTCACTGGGCTATCTCCCTCCCTTGTTCCCCAGTCAGGAGACAGAGGTGTCGGTTCCGTCTGTTCAGCACCACTTCCGCCGTTGTAGACGTGTTTGGCGCCAAACAAGGACGGCTCTACTTTGCACTGCGGCTCAAAATAAGAGGTTCGCGGACCGTCACCGTTCCGCCGCGCCTTCTTATCAGGTGGGCCAGAAGGTGTGGTTATCCATTAGAGACATTCATCTAAAGGACACTCCCAGGAAATTGGCTCCTCGCTTCATCGGTCCTTTTTCCATAGACAAGATCACCAATCCCTCGGCTGTGCGCCTACAGCTCCCCAGCTCTTTGAGGATCCATCCCACCTTCCACGTGTCTCAAGTTAAACCCGTTTCAGAGAGCCCATTGTGCCCTCCTTCCGACCTCCCTCCACTCGCCCGACTTATTGACAACCATCCTGCTTTCACTGTCCGTACCATACTGGATGTCCGTCGCCGGGGACGGGGCTTCCAGTACCTCGTGGATTGGGAGGGCTATGGCCCGGAGAAGCGATCTTGGATCCCTCGTTCCTTCATATTGGACCCCAGCCTTATCACCGCCTTCTTCAAGGTCCACCCCGAGAAGCGCATTGGGTCGCCCAGGGGCGACTCGTGAAGAGGGGGGTACTGTAAGAGTTGAACTTGCTGCAGCTCCAAGATGGCCGCCAATTATCCACAGCTGATGACCATCTGCATGACGAGCTCCTTGGCTACATAAGGCTGCAGTCAAGCTCTTCTCGTCGCTGGAGCATTACTTCCTTCCGGGTAGTCGTGTTTCTAGCCAGTATCTTGATTATATGAAGAGGATACCTTACCTTGTTTTCTTGTGTCTACAGTCGTCTGGTCATCTCGGATCCTGCCCTTGGTTCTCCCTGTGTCGGAGTCTCGCCTCGTTTGCCTTTGCCCTCCAGCCACTTGCCTGCCTTGGGATTTTCCCCACAACCTCACCCCACAAGGATTACCTGTAAGGAAAGACAAAACAGTTTGAGCTGCCTCCACTCGACTCCTAGACCTGACCTTGTCTCTCCCTCTTTCAGGAGTCCCAGGCCACCATTTTGTAAATACCTGTCAGCTCTTTCACTGTAAATAATAAACACTGTTTTGCTTATTTAGACTCTTGTCGTTCTGGCTCTCGTACCAACTGGGTTGTCCAAATCATAACATTTTGTGTCTTTTTATGATTTTCAGCTGAGTTAACAGTCATTAAAGTGAAAACAGGATTTCATGATGAAGCTGGCACCGTTTATTTTTTATTTTTTTAATCTTCAACGCTAAAATATATATATATTATTGTTTTATGACCAGCTCTGCTGGTCTCACTGATCCTCTCTTCCGGAGCCAGGACGGGCAGGCTCATCTTCCCACCACCGAGCTCAGCTGGTGACTCGCAGAAGCCGTTCCAAGACTCCAGCCGCGCGTAATCATGAAGGTCCGACCCGCGCAGACAGGCGGACAGAGACGGGTCTGCGACGAACGGTGGAAGCGATTTTAAAAGACATTTACGTTTAAAAAAAATAATAAACATTTTTAAATCGCTTCAGCAATTTTTTAAAACATTTTTTGTATAAAAACAAAATATTATTTTATTTAAAAATCGCTTCCACCGTCCGTCCCAGACTGTCCAGTCCGCCTGACTGCCGGGTGGGATCGGGATTCAGACTTCATGATTACGCACGGCCGGGGTCTGGCAATGGCCATCTGCGAGTCCCTATCTCCAGCTTCGCAGTGACCTGTTGAGCTCTGAGCAGTGACCAGCGGAGCTCTGAGCCTCTGAGCACACAAGGCTGGTATCCGGAACCTGAGCCTCCGAGTCGGCACATCAAAGGATCTTCCGCGGTGACCAGCTGAACATGGAGCTGGGGAGATGACGCCCTGCACGGTCTGGCGCTCCGAGGCTCCGGATTGGGGTACACCAGCAGAGCTCCATCCAGCTTGCTCTGAAGTATGTTGTCGGCCACCAAGCACAAAAAATGCCAGCACATCAGCATTAGACCAAGATGTTGTCAGTATTGTTTTTAAAATCTTTAAAATAAGTCCAGCCGCTGCTCCAGTCCGAGAAATTGTAAATGGCGGATTATTGTTTTGAAAAGTTTCTGAAGGATCCAGTGACTCCGCCCCCGACTCCGCCCCCGACCAATCAGTGACCGACAGTGTTCTGACGTAACGTTTTAGTACCTCTTCGTTCAGGTTAGAACCACAGAGCCAAGGGTACTGAAAATAATAACAGGTGCTAAGTACCGGTACTAATGGAAAAGCCTCAGAACCGGGCCAAGTAGGGTCCAGTTGGCCCATACCGGTACTAATGGAAAAGGGGCATAAGACAGTAATGTTGGGTATTTTTTCCCGTCAAACCTATTAAAGAAATCGTTGGTTATGTACTGTAACCCCAGATTCTATGAGTATAGGCGTAGCCCTTTAAGAGCTGTCGCTGATGGGTTTATCCCGTCATGCAAAGCATCGCACTGAAAAATTTAGTCCACGCCCACCTGCTGTGTGGGCCCCACCCGGTCCGTATAAATTACGTTAAGAGTGGGTAATCGGCTCCCAAATAGCTTTTCTTCAGCCATATAGGAGCCAGTGAGGCCCGACGCTTAACAGGGCAAGTGTGGACACTGACTCAACCAGAACAAAAGCTGCACCCCACTTTCCCAAAGCTGACAAGAACCCATCTTATTTCCAGCTTAAGACACCTTACCGGAGGAAAGGTCCTGGTAAATACCAAGGTTTTTCGAAACCTCTTCAGGGGGGTAAACACTCTCCTAATCAAACCCACACCTTTCAGGATCATCACTCTCGACCTGAAAGAAAACCACATTTAGTCTGTCAGAAACGTTCTGAAAAGTACAAAGGATCACCAAAGACCAAAAAAAGGTAAATCTACCACCTTGACTCCTAGAGAACTTGAGATAATTAAACGTTTCCTTCATGAAACGCACCAAGAAAATGATACCAAAGGTGCTGACTTTCTGTCAGTGACCTCTCTGGCCAATCAACCGTTGGACCAACAAGCTGCAGATTTAGAACTTCAACCTGCAACAACAGATTGTAACTCTATTTCTGACATTGTTCTTCCTTCAGCTCAACAGACTGACTATTCACACACCCTGAATGCAATCTCAGAAGTTCAAATGAACCCTGAGGACCTCTATTTCGAGAACAATTACTCTGAGTTCCCAGAGGAACCTCCAAGTCACCAATTTTTGTGTAACCTTACCGAACGGGGGCCCGCAGGAAAGTTTTACTTTTCACTAACGCTGGAACAAGTTTTCACTCGCGACACACTTCGACACCGCAGCAGATGTCACCCTGATGTCAGCCACCCTGTTCAAGAAACTGCAGTCAGCAGCGAAACACGCTAACAAGAACTTGGTTCTTAAGCCATGCCTCCTTGGTATCACACCGTACGCGTCTAACAAGACAACTGTATCCTTTGTGACTCAGATACAGTTTAAGATTGGTAACATGACACTTAGCCATCCAGCTTATGTGTCTGATTTAGAAACAATTCCACTATTGGTGGGACAATATTTGTTGACCCGATTTCAGCCTTTGATCGATTTTAAGAATCTCAAAGTTTGGGCCCAGGTGCGCCAACTCCTGCCCATCTTTACTGGACCAGAACTGTACTCACAGTGCTTGGCACTGGATACATCTGGAAGGTCAACCATCTCCCCACCCAAAGACAAACATCAGGTGACTGAGAGCACACCTCCCACAGAGGTAGTGTCAGTTACACCTGCACAACCACTAGAGCTGCAAAGAGCTCATATGATTGACACTACAGTGTATCTCCAGACTAACAAATCCAACACTAATAGGGATCTCTATGATGTTCTGACTTAGAGTCCATCTATTCTCAGAGAGGCCAAAGGCCACTCACAGGTGTCAGGACAAAACAAACAGGTTAACATTGTAGTGAACTTAACCTGATGTCAAAACTAAGCCTAAGGTCAAAACCCTTGACCTTAAGAACCTTGTGGGACAGAAACTGTCATTTCATTGATTTGAATCCAGAAATACAGGTTCACCCATCCTGAGACTTTCTTTCTTGAAAATTCAAGTGAAAGAACACTCTCTTTTCTATTATCATTCCTGTTTTACAAATGTTTGATAATCAAAGTGTTTTAGTTCAAACATTTTAGATGTTACAGTGAACTAATCAATTTTATTAACTGTAAAACAGTAACAATGATTTTTTAGTTGCTTATGCAAAGTTAGAATTCATGTTAAGGCCTGTTACGGAGTAATTATGCATTTTCTGATTTCTGTCTTTGAATGAGCCAGTGTGTGTTTTCCAAGGTCAGGAGTCGAAGCAGACATGTGTTGGAACAACTGCCTTGTTTTTACATCCTCTCAGACGTCAACAGAGAAGTTGGCACCTGTTTCTCCAACTCGCCAAAACAAAACTCTCTCTGTCTCTGAGAACAGTTTTAATCTGTTCAATAACATTCTTGCTGTTTTCTGACTTCTAGTAACCTCTTATATCACAAAACACACCCCTGTCTGGTTGATATTGACCAATCAGGAACGCTCAAATATACCGGAAATAGAGCCCTGTAAAATGCCGGTACTTCCTAGTTCTCTCAGGGCGGAGAGGTTCTGAGATGTTCGCAGTTCTGTGAAGTCGTTTGGGAGAACAGAAGTCCAGCCATGATAAGGCTCTTCCGAGTTTGGATTATAACATCTTCCACCTCTGAGTGGAACTTCTGAAGGACTCCACTCATGTGAAGTCCACTTGCTGAGGTGAGCTTGTGTCGGACGGAATCTCGTCACTACTTCGGACGAGTCACAGCCATCCTATGGAGACGCTGGACAGGTAGCGTTAACTGGAACTCCTATCTGCTGATTCATCTTCAGAGAGGTAACGAGTCAAGTTTACTACCAAGCGTACCGAGGAAAAGCTGGGTTCGAATGGAGAGTGTCGGTTCTGGTCAACACTCCCCCTCACACACCATCTTTTACTCCCTTTAAACTTCCTTTCCATCTTTAAATTCTTCTCTCAAGTAGAAATCCTTCCAGATAATTTAGAAATGTCTGTGTAAAGTGCTCATCCACCGCCGTGTGGATAATTGATCATAATTGTACAGTTTTCATTAATGTCTGTGGTGAAGCAACGGAAAATCATGGCCGTATGGTTTTCCTGGTTGTAAAGCTGATTGATTATGTTGTTATTCTCATATTCTGCCAAATTAATGTAAATGTTTGATGTTAAACTTTGATTCTGTAAAATAAATGACCACATTCATTTTGATGGGTCAAAGATAAATGACGTCTCACGTTACATTTCATTAAATTCAATGCACGTTTTATTCAGTCCAGAAAAATGAAGAATCCGTTTTAATTGATGAATATATCTCAGCATCTGTTCATCTACAACATTCTCACAGACTCGTTAACTAACAACAGTACCACTAGTGGTAACACCCCTCCTGGCCACCTGATTTTATCCCAAACGCACCCACCCAAGAGGTGCAAACGCTCGCACATCGATGTGCTGCAGCCTGCTCTTCTGATCTTTCACAACCGACAGCTAACACAATCTCAGTTGGACCTGCATTGTCTGATAAAGACATCATTAAGCTTCATTCTTTGGATCCAGCCATCAAAAGGATGATT